TTTTAAAATTAATTTTAAATAAAAATAATTAATAAATATTTAATTTAAAAATTAACAGATACTATAATACAAAATCAAAAAAGTTATTTATCGGCAATTACTGAACTTGCTGTAAATTGCTCAAAATTGGAAATATTAGGTTTTGATATACCTGACGAAATTGAGAATAATATTTCTTATGAAAGAAAAAAACTTTTGAAAAAACCTTTTTTAGTATTAATTACGGATGTTTTTGAAGAGGTTATTTTTATTTAAAAATATAATTAAATATTGAATAGGACACAAATAAAAAGAAATTATTTTAATTTTTTTGTTAATTAATTTGTCAAGCCTAAAAAGAATATACTAAATTTTTAATTACTTTTTTTTAATTTTTAAAAATCAGGATTTTGTAAAATTTCATTTGCCTGATCAAAACAAATTTAATTTCAAAATTTATGCTTTAAAACAAAATATTCGTGACAGTTATTTAGCTAACAACTTTAATTTTACTTATTTTTTTGATCCTCAAAATCCTTATGGAAATATTTATTGGTATCAAAGTGATGAAGAAAATTTTGAAAAACAAAGAAATGCTTCCCAAAATAATTGTAAGAATTTTAAAAGAAAATGGGAAAATTTAAACTTTAGCATATACGATTATTAATTGGCCTATTTTAATTATTCCCGTTGCGATTTCTTTTTTTATTGGGTTAGCTGCTGTTTTTGTTATTGTTTTAATTCGTTATCGTCGTTGTGTTTGTAAATTACTTTGGTTAAATAAATTGGAACAATTAAAAACAGAACATATTTATACAGCTTATCAAAATATTCAAAATAATAAAAAAATTGAAAATAATTGGAAAGAAGTTAAAGAAAAAATGTAAATTCTTCTAAATTAAATAATAAGCTTAAATTTTTGTTTGAAGAAGAGATTGTTGGGAGCTTGATTGGGATCAAATAATTTTTACATCTGAACAATTAGGAAAAGGTAGCTTTGGAGAAGTAAGGAAAGGTATAAATAAATAAGTATATTATAAAATATTTAATAATAATTAAGGAATATTGACTAAAGTAGAGCTTAACTCCCCATATTTTGGTTGTCAACTAAATAATATTCGAGAAGGATCACCTATTGCAGTAAAAATCCTTTCTGATCATTTAATTGAACAGGAACGACAAAATTTTTTATGTGAAATGGAAATTGTAAACAAAAATTAATTTTAATATAATTTTAAGACAAAAATGAGGAATCTATTAGAAATTTGAGAGAATTTTAATTTTTATTTACCATTTTATTTCATCATTAAATAAAATAAAAAATTATATTTAAAATATATAGATGAAATTATTGAGAAATTCCCATCGTTGTATTGTCCAAATGATTGGATGTATAAGTATACCCGATACTACTCTTGGTCTTGTACTCGAATTTTGTTCTAATGGAAATTTATTAAATTATTTACGTAAATTATCTGAAGAACAACAAAAATTGGCAAAAGAAAATAAAATTAAAATTGAGAAAGAAAATGAAAGGATTAATAGTGATTTTATGCGTTTTTCATGGCAAATTTGTGATGGAATGGTATTAAAAATAAATTAGATGGTTATAAAATAAATTAAAAATTAAAGAAATTCTTGTCAGAAAAACAAATTATTCATAGAGATTTGGCTGCTAGAAATATTCTTTTAGATGATTTTATGGTTGCTAAAGTAAGTTCTTATAAGGTAAATTAAAAAATAATTATTAATTAAATTAAAAGATATCCGACTTTGGTCTTTGCATTTTTGATAATTCAAAAAATTTGTCTAATTTTGAAAACCCTTCAATTCGATTAAAAACAATTTTAAACAACAGAGAAAAAGGCCAATTAAACGAAAAATTGCCTTTAAAATGGTTAGCACCAGAAAGTTTGTCTGAAAAGAAATTTTCAGAGAAGAGTGATGTGTATGGTTTTAAAAAAGATTTTTTAATTAAATAAAAACTTAGATGGTCATATGGTATTCTTCTTCATGAAATTTACACTTATGGCAAAAACCCTTTTGATGCCATTGAAAGAATTTCTTTATTAGAACAAATAATTAAATACAAAAATAATATTCAAAAACCTTCAATTTGTCCAAAAGAAATGTTTGCAAAATTCTTTAAAATAAATTAGGTATATATTTTTTAAGATTTGAATTGATGATTGAATGTTCTAATATTGAACCAGAAAAGAGACCAAATTTTGAATTAATACGAAATAAACTTTCTTTTCTTTTGGAAAGAGAGACAGGTAAAATAAAATAATAATTCTTAAATTATGTATACCGTATTTTCTCGATTAATTCCCTGGGGAATTATTTTTTCAACCCTTCTTTGGCATGGGGAATTAATCGAGGGAGAGGAAATATTCGAATTTTGGCATTTGAACGTGCAGTAGGGTATTTGGGTGTGGGGAATTATTGTCTCAATCCAACTCTAGCATGGGGAATTAATCGAGAGGAGGAATTTATCGAGAAAATACGGTAATTTTAGAAAATTATGGATATATTTCACTCAAATGATGATAAAGAAAAATATTCAAATTAATTTTTGTCTAATGAAAATATAAATACATACATATATCCCATTTTCAAAATGTTCTTAAAAGTATAACATTGAAATAGTGGATTTTTGTTATGTTAAAATTATTTGTATCTCATTGTATGCCTCGATTTATAAACAATTTATAATACATATTAATCGAGAGGAGGAATTTTGTTAATATTTAATATTATTTAATTTTAATATTTATTTAATTTTATAAAATTTCCACAAATTTATTATTGTCTTTAGATTTTTTTATTCATTTTTTCTCTATCAATAATGAAGCGTTGGTCTTCCACCAATATATTTTCTTTGGATGTTGGTAGATTTAGTGTAATGATGGCGTCCAGGTAATGCTGGTCTTGGCTCTAAATGTGCTCGATAATCTGGACCTTGATGTTTTTGTTCTACTCGAATATATGGGCCTTTAGTGAAGGTATAGCTGTCTATAGCTGGTTTACTTGACCAGCTATACTCACGCTCTGTTACAATATGATCTGCAGGAGGTCCGGCACTTGGACTACGATATGTGGATGAATGCCAAGATGTTGTTTTATTTCCGATACTTAAATTAAATAAATATAAAGTTTATGTCGTAAATTTGTATCTAAAATTTAACACACCGTGGTATGTGCTTGTCACCTCCTCCTGTAGTTCTATATTCATATGAATATGTTGACATTTTTATTTTTTAATAAAAATTAAAAATTAATTTTCAAACTATGATTTAAAATAAAAAAAAATTAAATTAAATATTTAATTTTTAGGTGTTTAATGAATGAATGAATCAATTTGTTTAAAAAATATATTCTTATTTAAATAATATTTTTCTCTCCTCCTACTTATTTTATAAAAAAGGATTGTCTTTATAATATTTAACTAAATCGAAAATAAAAATTTAATCGAAAACTAGTTTTTAAAATAATTGACAGGTCTTAATACAGCTGATTTAATGCGAGAATCACATGCTTTTATTTAAAAAAGAAAAGAGTACGACAAAAAATCTAATTAAAGAAAAATCCCAATTATGTTCAAAGACTAAAAAATATTTTAAAAATTTAGAAATGTTTAAATAATTAAATGTAGAAATTAAATATTTAAAATATTAATTTAATAATTAAATAGTCTTTTTCATATTTTACTAGCTCTATTTATCTACAAACAAATTTAAAATAATTTTTGCTTGAAGTAGTTGTTAGAATAAAGAAATGTCAAAACAATTGTTGTTAAAATAATTAATATTTGAGTGAAGTTTTACACGCTTAATTGAAAGTTGACATACAGAAAGAATATTAAAAAATAACAATAAAATATTTAATTTTAATTTTTAATTTTAATAAAATATTTATGTAACCCCGAGTTTATTCTAATGTTATAAAATATTATTTAAAAATTTGACTGATTCAGAAATAGATAAAAGAATTTTTTGTTACTTTTTTACTAAAAAATATATTTATTTTTTATCTAAATTAAAAATTCTATTTAGTAACACTAAAATGCCACAATGTTTGTGTAGAGTAACAACACCAATTAATTTTTGATGTCAATGCTTTTTCTTAAAAGCAGTAAGGCGTAAAGCCGATAATTAGATTTATTTGCCATAGACTCACGTAACTGGAATGCAAAAAGTATTGTTTTTATTAGAGATTTTTTTTGTTGAAACAAATTTGTTAGTTTCTGATAATTTTTAAAAAAAGTACCTATATATTTTTTTAATTTAATTTTTAAAAATTATTTTTAAAATAAATATTTTTTAATCCTTTAATCGTTAATTTAAAATGATTAATAAAAGACAAGCTTTCTCATCTGGCAATTCAACAATTCAAAGTAATAATAGTTCAAGTAACAGAATGAGTGGAAATTTCCATTCAAGTCAAAAAAGTAAACGAAAATTGGTTAGATTACAAAGACAACATTGCATAATTGGTTAATTAATTTAATTTAAAATTATTTTTATTTTAAAGATGATGCTCCTTCTGAAGAAAATTCTGTTGGAAACGATTTTTGGATTGGTGTTGCTCCTTTGTTGGATATGGCTGGAACAGCAAGAATTTTAGGTGTTTTTATTTATTTAAATTTATTTAGAATGTCTGAGAGAGAGAGAAATTTTTATTTAATTTACTAAATAATATTGTTTACGTTCATTTTTTTTTATTTTTGTTTTTATTTTTCTGTTAAACTTTTCATTTTTTTTATTTAATTTAATATATAAACTCTGTCCTTTTATTAGATCATGACAAATTTTAAAAAATATAAACAAAAATAAATAGTGTATTTTTAAGTTAAAAAACTAAATTTTTAATATTTTTTAAATCTTTTTTTATCCAACTACTAAATAAAATCAAAATGTAGAATCAATATTTTATATTATAATTACTCCATTTTCATTTATTGTTTGCTTTAAATAAAGGCAGTAACAAAAATAAAAACGTCGAAATTTTGGCTAAATGAGTAATTTTCTGGATTCTGAGGGGAGGGAGGAGAGGTATGGCAGCAATTTTGGCCCATCAGACTTAATGAGTTGGCAAGGAGCAATGGGCGATGGCCAAAGGCATTTATTTGTTGGTCTAAACACTTCCACAAAATTTTGTCTGAACATTATAAAAAAGATGTGGGAATTGTTTTTGTTTACCTTTCTCTCTATACTCTCTTTTTTATTTTATTTGGACAATTCTTAACTTTAAATTAAATTTATAAAAAAAAATATTTATTTATTTATTTTGAAGCGTGCAAAGCTGCGAACATTTCCTCTGCAATGCTAGCACACAGAAGAAAATCATCTGCACTTCCAAGTATCGGCTGCGGGGGTATTCATTTTCCTCCTCCTTCAGCATATTGTGGGAAAAAATCATCAGGAGCAAGCAGCATTTTGTTAACAAATCCAAAATGGCAACAAGTTTGTGTATATATATTTTTTTAAATTAATTCTTTCTTTCTGTTAAAGTATGAACTTCATCACCACCCATCAACTTCAATGCAGCAACAACCTCAATTATCAAATGCCCCTTCATCTCATTCTGCAATTGCTTCGGCAGCTAACCGTCGTCAAACAGCTCGGGAATCTGTTGCAATTTTAGCTGAAAGTTGGGGTGTCTTTGCTGTTGACCCAAATGCTGCTTCTGCAAAAGAGGAGATAACTGGTAATAAAATAGTAATATAATTATTGTTTTTGTTGAATTTTGGATAAAATATTTGGGCAAATATTGTTGAATAAACAAAAAAAATTTTTCTTATCCTTTTAACTAAAAGAAGGAAAATTATGGTAATGAATGTGATGATGATGAGTGTTTTTAGTAGAAATGCAAAAATGAAAGAAGAAACGTAAAAGAGTCAATTCTTATTGTTTTTGATGAAAAGTAAATATAAAAAATTAAATGAATTTAGAAGTAAAATAATATTATTTTAAAAATATTTTTATTTTGACATTTAAATTTTAGAAAAAATTTTTCAGAAAATTTACTTTGTTTCATGGGGCTTTTTGAATTTACTCTTAAACTTGCCTGTTTAGCTTCGATGATTTCTGTTTGTCTACATACCCCTCACACAATTAGTCAATGGCCTTCATTGCTTTATTGGCTATTAATTGTAAATAAATAATTTAAATTTTTAAAAGAAATATTTAAATTAAGAATGATATTTTCTGTACAACAATATTCTCGATTGATTTACTTTTAAAGGTCAAAAATATTTTAAATTTAAATTAAATTATAATATTTTTTTCTTCCCTAATTCACAAAATAAAATTTAAAAATAATTAATTTTTAAAGATAAATACAAAAACTATATTAAAAGACCGTTGGTGTCAGTTTGACTTGACTATTTTATTTTTTCATTACGCATCTATTTGTATTCATTCTGCAGAAATTTCTGATAAATTATGGCCTTGGTTAAATATTAAATATGAGGGATGGTTTGTATTTTTTAAATGAAAATAATTATTTTTTCAAAAAAAGGTGGGGGGCTGTACGTTCACCCAGACCATTTATTATGTTAAAATTTATTAGATCAATTATTCGTTTTAAATTGCCACGTAATAGAATTCAAATGATTATAAAGTAATTAAATATATACTTAAAATATTTTAATTAATTTAAATTTAAATAAAAGGAGGTCTTCTCAACAAATTCAAAATGTTTCCATTTTCTTTTTATTTTTTATAACTTTTTATGCAATTATGGGAGTACAACTTTTTGGCCGGATGGAATTTCATTGTGTTCTCCCAGGGACTGACCCTAATAATGTTACAATTGCTGGTAAATTAAAAAGAAAATATTTAAAAGAGAAGAGAAATAAAAATTATTTTAAAAATTAAATGAAAATAATTTGGCTTTTGTCCAGTTTCTACAATCAAAATTTATTAAAATTTTATATGTCCAATAAGAAACTTTGTATTTACATACATGTATCTCTTCCAATATATATTTTCAAAAACAATATTAGATCTAAAAATTTCTCTATACTTGACCCTTTAACTATATTGCTCAACAAGACCAAAAAAACCAAAATAAAAAAAAATTAATTCAAATCCTATAAATTGTATAGGAGCTCATAATTTTAAATTAAATACGTTTTTATTTATTTATGGGGTATTTTTTTCAGATCTAGCTATTCCTGATACAATGTGTTCTCCAGATGGTCAAGGATATGAATGCCCGCCAACAATGGAATGTATGAAACTTTCTCTACGTGCAAACCAAATTGGTTTTAATTAACAAAAAATTATTTAAAAAATTAAATTATTAAAGGTTTTTATGGAATGTTTAATGATTTTGGTATATAATAAATAATTTAATATAATTAAATTTTTATTTTTTTCAGCATCTAGTTTATTTACTGTTTATTTAGCAGCCTCTCAAGAAGGCTGGGTTTTTGTTTTATATGATACTCTTGATACTTTTCCTTATTATTTTGGTCTCTTTTATTTTATTACTTTAATATTCTTTTTGGCTTGGCTAGTTAAAGTATTTAATTTTAATTAAATTTAAATTAAAAAATATTTTTTAGAATGTTTTTATTGCTGTTATAACAGAAACTTTTGCTGAAATTAGAGTTCAATTTAGTGAAATGTGGCAAAGTAGAGAAGTACCTCCCAATAATAGAAATCTAGATAATATTAATCAAAATGTATTATGAGAATTTAATGAAAAAAAAAAGATTTTTTTTTAAATTTATTTTTAGAAATTAGAAAAAGATGAAGAAGGAGATTGGCATATTAAAGAAGTTGATTCTAAATTATTAAATTTTGGGGTAACAGAGAGGGGAACATTTAGACGTCTATTACTTGCATTTATATGTTCAACAACCTTTCAAACTTTTATACTTTTCCTTGTGTAATATTTTTTATAAAAATTAAATAAATATATTTTTATAGTGTAATAAATGCTTTAATTAATTCATCTTTTGTTTATCAAAATAATCGGAGTGATATTTATCGAAAAAGAATTTATTTTTATATTGAGGTATTTTTATATTTGAAAATAAAAATAATTTTTTTCAGTCAATTTTTACTTTAATTTTTTGTATTGAATGTTTAATTAAAATATTTGGACTTGGATGGAATGTTTTTTGGCGTAGAGGACAACATAAATTTGAGTTATTACTTTGTTGTGGAAGCATTTTAAATATAATTCCAAAACTTTATAAAACAAATTATTTTACTTATTTTCAAGTTTTTCGTCTTTTACGATTAGTTAAATTATCCCCAATGCTTGAAGATTTTGTTTATAAGGTGAACCGCAAATTAAAATTTTTGTGAATCTGAAACGACCCAAAAATTTTGGGGTATGGCCAGGAAGTGGAAAATTTCTGGAGATTTTTTTGATTTTCAGAACAGGATAAGATAACCGAGCCGGAAAATCTTCGGTCCTTAGATTCGATTACAAATCTTAACTATTCACACTTTTACACCTCTGACAATTTATTATTTTTAGAAGAAAAGAAGTTAAGCGAAAATTCGGGGAAATTTAAAAATAAAATTTATTTACATTAAACTTTATTTTTCAGATTTTCGGTCCGGGTAAAAAACTTGGAGGGCTTATTTTATTTACTTTAACATTGGTAATGATTACCTCAGCAATTTCTTTACAATTGTTCTGTTATGTGTCAGGATTAGATAAATTTAGAACTTTTCCTCAAGCTTTTATGTCAATGTTTCAGATAATTACACAGGCAATAACAAAAAAAAATAATAAATGTTTATAAAAATTTGTTTTTAAAGGAAGGATGGACAGATGTTGTTGTAGAAATTTTACGTTCAACAAATGAATATTGGGTACCTTTTGTTGCAATTTATTTTGTTGGTTATCATCTTTTTGTTACTTTAATTGTTTTAAGTTTATTTGTTGCCGTAATTCTCGATAATTTAGAAATGGATGAAGAACTTAAAAAAATAAAACAATTAAAAGCTAGAGAAGAAGTAAAGAAGTCTTTTAAATTTAATTAATTTAAACATTTAAAGACAACAACAATGCGTACACAACTTCCTTGGAGATTAAGAATTTTCGAAAAATTTCCATCTCGCCCACAAATGATTGAATTTAGAAAAATGTAAATTTAAATAAAAATAATTTAAAAATAATTTTATTTAAAGTTCTCGAGAATTTCCTTTACCCAAAATGAGGGATAGTTTTACTCGCCAATTCCTTGTCAATTTATCAACAGATTTTCTTGTTACTTCGTCATCAAAAAAAGAAAATAGTAGAGGATATGTTAATAATAAAGAATTTCTAAATAAAATAACAAAAAATTCAAAAAAGGAAATAACAAAAGATAATCAAAAGTTTTTTAAATTTAAAAAACTTTTTTTTAAACAAACAAATCAAAATATGTCAAAGAAAGCTGTTGGAAATTTAATTGAGTTAATTTTTTTGAATAAATATTTTTTAAATGTAATAATATTTTGAAGTGAATCAAATAAACAACGTTCACTTCTTTCTGATACTTCTCAACATATTGGAGGAGTTAATGCTTGGATTAGAGGAGCAATTGGTGGAGTAACCAGAAGAAGGCGTGAACAAGAAAATCAGCAACAAAAAACATTTTCTTTCCAAAATGTTGAAAATAAAAAAGAAAATGGGGGAGATTTTAGTAAATTAATTGATACTGCCCCTAAAGAGAATACTGGAATTAAATCTGGGGGATTAGATATTATTGATATTAAAGCATTACAGAGGAAAAGGGATCAAGCAGAATTTACTAGGTTGTTTTTTCCTTTAAAAAAATTTAAAAAGAAATTTTAAAGAAATCGAATAGAAGAGGAAATGAGAGAAAATCATCCATTTTTTGATTCCCCTCTTTTTATTGTTGGAAGAAATTCAAGACTTAGAAGATGGTGTTTGTTTATTGTTGAAGCTAAATATTGTATTATAGACGAACAAATGAATGGATCTTTTCGTGGAATTAATAATTTTAAAAATATTTCTACAACAAGAAAACCTCTTGTTTCAGTTTAATTTTTTTCAAATTTAATTTAATTTAATAATTTATAATTAAAGTTAAATAAATATAAACAAATTAAACAATTAATTGGGTTACTTACTTATTTGGATTGGACAATGGTTTTAATTACTTTATTTTCATGTTTTGCTATGCTTTTTGAATCTCCTTGGCCTATTTCTGGCGAAAATATGATTTTTAAAAATAAATATTTTGAGGTTATTTGAAAGAAATGTGAACATATTTTAAGTTTTATAGGCTTGTGATTTTATTTTTGTGTTAGCAATGAGTATTGAATTAACACTTAAAATTGTTGCTCATGGACTTTTCTTTACCCCAAATGCTGTTGTACGTGATGTTGGTGGATTTGCTACACTTTTTATTTTTGGAAGTTCTTTATGGTATTTAATTTGGATGCCAAAATATGTTCAAGAAAATTCATTTGCACAATTTTTAATGATTTGTAGAGCTATGGTTTGGCAGAATATTTAATAATGTGTACATTTCTTCTTTTTTAGCGTCCCCTTCGGATTTATACTTTAGTTCCGCATATTCGACAAGTTGTCGTTGAACTTTGTAAAGGATTTCGTGAAATTCTTTTAGTTACAATTCTTCTAATTCTTTTTATGTTTATGTTTGCAAGTTTTGGTTTGCAATTTATTGGTGGAAAGTTAGCTGCTTGTAATGACCCAACAATCACTTCTAAGGCAATTAAAATATTAAATTTAATTTAAAAAAATTCTTTTTAGAAAAATTGTGTTGGACTTTTTGAACAAAAATTATTTGTTACGAGAATGGAAGTTTTTGGAAAAGTTCTTTATAATTTTTATATTATAATTTAATTTTAAAAAATAGAATGATGAAAATCTTCATCCAAAAATGTTAGTTCCTCGTGTTTGGTAAACAGATAAATATATTATTTTTAAATTTTATTTTTAACAAAAAAGGACAAATCCTCATAACTTTAATTTTGACCATATTGGTAATGCAATGCTTGCTTTATTTGAGACACTTTCATATAAGGGATGGAATGTTATTCGTGATATTTTATGGGCTAGACAGGCAAAAATAAATTATATATTTATTAAAAAAATATTAAAATTATTTTTGAGGGTCCTTGGGCTGTTTTATTTATTCATGTTTATGTATTTATTGGTTGTATGATTGGTTTAACTCTTTTTGTTGACGTTGTAATTGCTAATTATATGGAGAATCGGGGGACAGCACTTTTAACTGTTGACCAAAGAAGATGGCATGATTTAAAAGCTAGACTTAGAATGGCACAACCTCTTCATGTTCCTCCACGTCCTGCTGAATCCTCAAAAATTAGAAATCGGTTGTGGAAAAAAGTTTTTTAATTGAAATTTTGCAAATTTTATTAGACTTTATGAGTTAACAACAAGTCGTTCATTTAAACAATTTTATGCAATTCTTGTTGTTCTTAATTCTGCTACATTAGTAGTACCCTGGAGTGTAGAGGAAGAAGAACAACGTCGAACACTTTTATTAATATTTACTTCGTTTGCTGGTATTTGTTCTTTCCTTTTTACTGTAACTTTTAATTGGAAAAAAAAGTTTTTTAAATATATTTTAGATAGAAATTTTGCTAAAAAGTATTGCATTTACACCTCACGGATTTTGGCAAAGTCGTCGAAATCGTGTAGATTTATTAATTACTTGTGTCAGTATTTTTTGGTTAATTGCCCATTTTGGGATTAGCGAAGTTGCTTTACCTATTGTCTCTTTACCACCTTCACAGTTTAGAAGATTTACTTATACACTTGGTTATATTATTGGAATTTTACGTTTCTTTACTATAACTGGTAGAAAAAGTACTTTAAAAATGTTAATGCTTACAGTTTTGTGGTCTATGGTCAGATAATTATTATATTTTACTATAATTATTAAAGTAGATTTGGCAAGAAAATATTTAACACTAACTTTTGACTTGGCTAAGATTTCTCTCCAAACATTTTCAAATTTTTTCCTTTTGCCAAATTTTCAGAGCCACACGTAGAAATTTATAGGTTTAATATGTTTACCGCCTCAATTCATTAATAATCTTTTCCTAATCCTTTAGTTAATATTTCTTTTTAAATAAAAATTTTTAATTAAAAAAAGGTTCGTTCTGCATTTATTATCGCAGCAATGTTTCTCCTTATTTTATTTTATGCCTATGCTGGGGTTATTCTTTTTGGAACAGTTAGATATGGGCAAGCACTTTCAAAACATGTAAATTTCCGTTCAGGAAAACAAGCATTAATGGTTTTATTTAGAAGTATTACAGGAGAAGATTGGAATGGTTTTTGTGATTTAAATTTAAAAAAATATTCCATTTAATTAGATATAATGCATGATTGTATGCGTTCCCCTCCATATTGTTATTGGGCACCTTCTTTAAGTTATTGGCAAAGTGATTGTGGAAATTATATGGCCGCAATACTTTATTTTTGTTCTTTTTATTTAATAATTGCTTATATTGTTTTAAATTTACTTGTTGCTGTTATTATGGAAAATTTTTCTCTTTTTTATTCTTCTGAAGAAGATGCTTTGTTAAGTTATGCAGATATTCGAAATTATCAACAAGTAAATAATCTAAACCTTTCTCCTAGTTCTCGGTAAAACATTCCGAAAACACCTCATTTTGAGAGGTTTAATGAATGAATTTTTTGTGTTATAAGAGAGAGAGGAAGAGTTCGGATATTAAAAAATATTTTTAGGTCTGGAATATGGTAGATCTAGAACAAAAACATTCCATTCCTGTACGTCGAGTAAAATTTTTGCTTCGGCTACTTAGAGGCCGTTTGGAGGTTGATCTAAATAAAGACAAACTTCTCTTTAAACATATGGTTGGGAAATAAAATTGTTTTTTTTATTTTATATTTTTAGTGTCACGAAATGGAAAGGCTAAACAATGGGGAAGATGTTTCTTTCCATGATATTCTGAGGTTGAGAAATATTTTATTTATTATGGTTTACGCCTCATTATTAGTCACTGTTAAAATTTATTTTAGTCATCGTAATTTTAATTTTATAATTATTTTTAAAGTATGCTCTCCTATCGGAGTGTTGATATTCGTAAATCATTACAATTAGATGAATTAGTACAGAGAGAAGAATTGGAATATTTAATAGAAGAAGAGGTGGCAAAACAGGTAAAAAAGTCATTTTTATTTATTTTTTAAATTTCTTTTTCAGACAATTCGTGATTGGTTAGAATCTTGTTTAATTAAAAATAAACAATTAAAGAAACAACAACAAGAAACGGCAATGGGGGATTTACTTACACAAATAAGAAGTACTACAACAACACAAACTTGCCAAACAAAATTATTATTAAAACAACCAATAAGTCCTAAAAAACAAATTAAATGTGATAATAGAAAAGAAAGTTCTCCAAATAAAAAAAGTAGTGAAGTAAATTCTGAAATATTAACCTCCTCTTTTGTAAAGAATGAAGTAAGTGGGGGTTAGATTTTTATGAAATTTATATTCAATTGCTTTATAATCTCTTAATTTAGTCTTTTTTGCTTAAGCATTAGAAAGAAAACTAAAGAGGGAACTATTCTATTTATTGTTTGTCGAGATAATAAATAGACTCGTATAATCCTGAAAGCTTAAAAATCTAAAATTATTTTTAATTCTCTTTAAAAAAACATTTTAGGAACAACCAAATAAAGTTGCTGAAAAAGTTGATAAACGACGTCGTAGCAGTAGTATACCAGAATTAGTTGAGGTGTTTTTAATTGTAAATATTTTTCTAATTAAATTGAATTATTGAAAGGAGGCAAAACGTTTTGTTTGGAGTGGCCGACTAAAATCGTTACCACGTATAAATTTCGGTCGTCAAAGACAATTACAATCCACAAATACTTCAATAAAAGAGGAAGGAGTTACAGGAAGTAATAAACAAGTAATTATTAAAGGGATAACATTTTTAGTAATTAAATTTAGCCAGACAGACCAACAATTTCAATAATATCAGAATTAATTGCTGGGCAAATGTGTCAACAACAACAATTATTTGAAATTGCCACAAAAGATCAAAATATTTCTTTAAATAAAAATCAAATTGAAGAAAATAGAAAAGTAAAAGAAAAAAAATAATAAATTTAT